TTATTAAAGTAGAATCTGTTAATAAAAAAAAATTTACTTAATATATTTCTTTTTAGAATTACGTTCATTTATTAAAGCAAAATAGTATATTTTTAGCAAATACTTTTTCTATTGAAGCAAAATCACTTACTGCTCACATAAATTCATTATGATGACAAAAGAAATTTGTTGTTGTAATCAATTTGTGTTATTACAGCAAAACTTGATTTGTTATGAAACAAACAGATGGAAGAGGTTCTATAGTCATTTGTATTATGACTAAACCATATATTTTTTGTACAACAATTACAATTTTTCTCTTCCCTAGATTTTTAAAAGGATTCGAAAATCCTTAACTATGATTAAAGTATATGTATTAATACGTGTCTAAGTGTAATTTATGCCAAGAACGTCAAAGAATTTCAAAATTGAGATCTGAAATTGATCTTCATCATTTTTTTAGTCCAATATAGCATTCTAGAGTTGTGCAATTTGTAATTACAAAATAATAATCTACAGACTAATAGTTTGCACGAAGAAACAACGTGGAGTTCTTAGAATTGGACTTAGACGTTGGAATTAAAACGTTACTGTTATACTAATATTTATGTGTATTATGTGTGCGTGAGATGTACTACTATTTATTTATTATGTATGTGGTGATGTGTCAGTGACACGAAAATCGTCTGTGTAAATCCTATTTACACTATGATTATAATCATCTTTAGGGTCCCCGCCTTAATAGATGACGTGTTTTCTCGTAAGAAAGATTCGACACTCATCTGTATAAAGCGGCAATTATTAGACTTATAAATTTATACCACTTATAAATAGACCTATAAATGGATAAAAGATGTGTATTATACATTTTTTGATTGCTTGATGATATACATTATACTTCTGCATCTAGTCATCCAGGCGCGACAATGTTTCATTATAACACAGACTAATGATAATGCTGGAAAATTATTGATTCTATTTAGTATTCTTTATGTTATTTATTTATTTGGATTTAATTCTTTTATATTTTTATTACTTTTACTGACTGGACTTTTCTCTGCGTTGTAATGCGTTGTTATCATACTACAATAATAACTTTCTAATTTATTAATTTATCTTTTTCGTATTTATCTATTACATTATTCCTACTTTATTTCCAATCCTATCTTCTTCTTTAGGTTATTTTATATTTTATGGAGCTCTTACTTCTCGCGAATTTTTCTTCAAGTTTTTCCGTTTCTGTTCTATTCTATTGTAGATACAAAAGTTGTGCATCCAATAATTTTTTGCTTCTGATCATAGTTTACTAATTTTATTCATGCAAGTAATAGATGAGTCCCTTGGCACTGCAATAAAAAGTTTCAGCACTTGTTTCATGCACTTTTCGCCACATTGTACATGGCAATAGCCATCCTTGTCGAGCGATCATCAAATATCAATCTATATCTACTCTTGTCAGGTCAAAAGAATGATAATTTACTATTAGGTATTTAGAGACCATACATTATACTGATGTGAGTCAGATGTGGCGCATCACCGATCACAAAAACATGTTCAATTATGCTTTGATTATATAACCAAATTGTTTCGCTAATACAACAAAAAAGGTTAATTAGATAAAAATTGATTCGTTCTTACAAAATATAATTTATACTATTATAGTTTTAGCAATATTATATCTATCAAATGGCAATTAGCACTCTTAATAAATCTCTCTCTGCTATCTACACAATAACTTATAGATTTTGTTAGAATAGAGTAAGATCTGCTGTACTAGTAAAATTATAACATAATTTTATGTTATAATTTTACTAGTACAGCAGATCAAATATAGAAAAATAGAATTGAATTTTCATTAATGTAAAAATTTAAGTATATACATTATAATTTTTATCTAAAGATGAATATAGAGGAGAATATCAAAATCTTTACTTAAATTGACCATGTTGGCATTAATGACGATACACAATTTAAAGAAATATAATTTAATTATCGTAAAATATATTTTTAATGAGCGCCTATTTTAGAAATCAACGTTAAATTAACAGATATGTCATGATACAAATTATGTCTTGGTAATTATTAGGTGTTGGAATTAATTCGTAGCGTTTTACAAGTGATGGGAAGTACTTTCATTAATGTATTTTTTAATGCTCATGTGAAATAAATAACATTCTTTCATTAAAAAACGCTACGAATTAATTCCAACACCTAATACAATACATATTTTGTTCGAGGAAGTTACGCAAGTCAATGTCAACATGACTGAAGCGTAAATAAGACCGGAAAGAATTTAGAAGTCATACGATAAATTTGTAGCACAGAATCAATCGAAGCGTGAAGTTTTATGGAAATCTCACGCTGATTGCTATTAGTAGGGCAACCAAAATATGCATAGAGCATGTTTTTTTTGTTTGATTAATAAAGAAATAAACTAAATACAAATTTGTTTCATAAGAAATTATGTATTTTGAATCCTATATGTTATAGCATATTTTTGCATATTTCACCCACACGTGCACAATATTTACATATTTTATGATATTTTATGATACTATTTTGATTGTATATTTTACATTGTTTTCTAATTTAAGTTTATGATTAGTTTTTTTCTGATATAATAATAAATAGGATTTCTTTAAGATAAGTTTTTTCAATCAGAAATATGCTACAACATATTTTATATTTTTGAAAAAGGAATTGAATAGATAAATGATTCCCACACGCCGCGATGCATTGGTGCGATGCAGTAATGTCAGAGAAATCAGGAAGAAAAAGATTTCGTGCTTTTACGTTCAATCTTCTATATTTCTATGTATAATACAATACATAACATCAAAGGCTCTCTCTCTCTCTCTCTCTCTCTCTCTCTCTCTCTCGAGTTGTTATAATAAATAATATGTATTTTAATTTTAATTCCCTATAAGACTAATCAAATTTTTTAAAAATGTAAACAAATTTTATCAAATTCATTTTACTTTGTTATTATAAGTAAAAAACTTAATTAATAATTTGAAAATTTGTGCGATAAAAAATAATTTTTAAATGCATATATTTCTTTTTTTAGAGCATTTTTTTCAATTTCACAAAACATATTTTAGGCGTTTAAAAAGGGATTTTTACAGCATAATTTTTTTGGGATACATTCCTTTAGAGCATTTTTTTAACTTCACAAGATATTTTAGGCGCTTAAAAAGGGATTTGTACAGTATAATTTTGGTTGCCTTACTAATTAACCTTTCACTTTGACTGGATTCAACAAACAGATATTTCAGATTAAATATTCATTTGCATGACGTATTATATATATATGACGTATAAATTCTATTTGCTACATATAACGAACGTATGATTTAAAAATGCAATCGCATCTGATATTTTCGAGCATCTATATTGTTGATTGATTTAAACCCGGAGAGATATTTTTATTTTAATCAAACTGAAAATTAAATTAAATTAAGTTAAGTTTGTTAACATTTTTAATTGTTGAAACAAAAATAATAAATATAAAATTATATAATACATAACCTTTTAAAATAATTAATTTCTCAAAAATTATTGAATTGCTTTATAATCTAATTAATATATATCTATAGATTTAATATGAAAGAGAAGATATAAACAAATCATGAAATGAATTTTAAATTTAAAAAGATGCGATTGCTATGAATATACATTTACTTCAACCAGTGTTGGGCACAATCGATTAATTTTATATGCTTAATCAATTAAGTTCAGGCTTAAAGAAATCAATTAAAAATGATATGTAGTATAACTAATTTAGTCAATTATTGAAGCAAATCATCTGATTAAAGAAACAGTTCATTAAAAAAATATTCAATTATCAATCATTAATTTTCATGTGTAAAAAATAATATTGATAATTTTTACAATCTACACATATTATTAAAGAACATGTTTATCATATTGAAAAGCTTTTCAAATTGAAAAGCTATTCAAATCACAGTTAGGGCCACTACACATAAAATGACATAAGCGTAACATAGCACTGCTGGACCAATGATTATCCGACAAAAAGACGTCATATTGATTTACATAAGATGTTTGTTTGTTCAGAGGTCCTATGTTGTGCTTATGCAGCTTACGTCATTTTGTGTGTGGCCTTTAATCGAAAAATCGTTTTATGTTTTTATAGAAACTAAGAAAGAGATTGCACATATTAATAAAATATGGTTTTTTTCTATAGGTAATCAATTTAATTTTTATTATAAATTTGTATAATTTTTATTATAAATTGAAACATTATAATACTAATACTAATAGAAAACTAAGATATTTTTGAGCATTGCAATAATATCAAAAGCAATGTTATACATATGTACAACACCTTTAGAACGAAAAATTAATTAAGTAGGTTTAATTTATGTTTAATTAAACACAAATGATTAATAAATAACGATTTATGTTTTAATTTGTAGCAGTTACACGCAATAAATTGTTTCAATCGATTAAAACTACAAATTAAAAATTTAATTGATTAATACCTAAGATTTAGTTGGGGGCAAAAGATTTTAATCGTTTACTGTAGTCAAAAATTAAACTTTTTTTAACTGTAATCATTAATCTATAAATTTATTAAATTTTGCCTGACACTGACTTTAACCATGTTTCTTTTCGCTTTCTTTTCTTTGACATAACCGAATTATGCATGTCATTTTCTTTTTCTCTCAATCAAAATTCTTGCGACATTATGATAAATTACAATCTTATTATTAATGTCATGATTATTGTTAATTACATTGTCGGATTTAACATTGTTACATCGATTTGCGACCCGTCAACTATCAATAATGAACTATCTTCAAACCCTTGATAGTCTTTCTACGCCTCTTTCTTATCAATACAGAATTCTCAGTAACAGAAATATATACACGCTGGGTTTATATTTGATATTCGTGTATGTATCGTTCAGCGATACAGCGGATCATCATGCTGCGAGAATGGTCCCGGAGTGGAGAACGTGACCGGGTGCAGCAGATAAATTCCGTACGTCGTTCTCAGTCAATAACGAGTTCCCAGTTAGCTCTGATCACCGCGGCTACATCCGAAGACTTACATCTCGCGCTAATCGAAAGACTCGCGGATGTCGGAATAAACTGGACGAGATTTTTTTTCCCAAGGCATACACGCACAAAGAGAAATATTTTCAAGTAGTTTCAGAGAAGCTGGATCGTGCAACGTAGAAAGATTATATCGATATATTTAGAAAATTTTTTAACTTGTTACGATGAAGACGATCGCTCGGACATAATAGCGAGCATTGGACGTGTACGTTTACAGATCTTAAGACAAAGCGACTCAAAAAATTGTAGATATCTTTTAGAATTGTCCGGAGCAATCTGAATATTGAAAACATCGCTTGAAATAATAAAACCGCTGGTTACAAGTTAGACGTGTTTATTCTTTAAAGATTGAAGAAGGTGGTATACAAACAGACAGTTTAGAGAATAAACAATTCAACGTAAGTCGGTGTTTATTGTACGTATATACGATGATATTATATCTAGACAAAAAATATTAAAAATAGAAGAGGGAGACGCAATCTAAAAAACTCCGCGGCATATCTAAACGAGATAATAGTTAATTTATTTCAACGCTTTCGCATCATTTCAGTCAAATTCCAAATCACTTCACATTCTTATATCTTTTAAATGTAAGTAATCGATTAATAATTATGATGGTTTAAAGTACCTTTCAATATGTAATATCGAGATTATCTTATTATCAAGATAAGTATTAGAATCGAATATTGTAAAGATATATAAAAGATTAAACCGCGACAAAGAGAGAGAGAGAGAGAGTGAGAAGTAGCACTAGTAACGAAGATAAAAAAAGACTGACCTTTTTCTAAAATTGCGAATAACGTTTTGTGAGGAAAAATCACCGAATAGGTTACGTGATATTATTTAATTGATACGATTAATTATCAGAAAATAAAATCAAATAGAAGATACCATGACGAACACGGACATTAATAATACGAACGAACGAACAAACACTAATAACGTGAAAGAACAAATAGATGTTAACAATACGAATGAACACAAAGACATTAAAAATCCAAACGAGCATGTTAATAATGCGAATGGACAAGTAAATCTTAACAATGAGGGTGTGCATGTATCAACGTGCATGGAAAGATGCAAGGTACGTACATATTTTCAGTAAGATGTAATATAAACTCAAATTTCAAAATATATAATAATAATAATAATATAAACTATATAAACGAATAAATCTAATAAACATTAAAATTATTAATAAAAGCTGATACTAGATGGTAACGTATAATTTGTTTTATTAATAACTCAATATACTTTATCAAAGATGATAATAACATAATAATATAAATTATTTTAATCCTCCCGATATATAATGTAACTGACTGATAAAGTGATAAATATGATAAGTGTGACGCAATTAACGTTATATAGTGTACATGAGTTGCATGAAATATTGTATTTTCAACGAACTTTACCATAAAGCACATCGTTATGAAAATTATGTTATCATACTTTGTAAAATCTAATTAACAATTAATAAGTTAACATTAAATGATAACATAAAGTGATAAAATAAAGTATAAATTTTTCAAAATGGAAATATGATATGTTTTAAAAAATTGTAGTGGTCCGCGAACAAGGATCTTATGTGGGATAAAATTGGATTTTATGAGCACTGTAAGTAATGTAAGGATCCTTTATATTTTTACAACGTACTAACAGTTAGTACTAATAGTGTCAACTCTTGTAAAAAGATGCATCTGCCTTTGCGACATTCTAATGTGCTGCAAAGTTTAAACTTAATTTATATATTTCGAATATTTATTATGTTAAATAAGAAGGTACGTTATTTTTTATATCTTACGTTTTTCCCTCTAACTTTATAAAGTTCTCAATCTACATTAAGACAAGATGTTTTATTCTGAGTGTTAATATTTGTAAAATAAACAATATTGAGTCATTCTAATCTCACAAAGTCCCGAACAATTATTGATTTATTACACACGAAAATTTTTCGAACAAGTATGCATGGTTGTTTGTAATACGTACGTTCATTTTATTCTTCATACACTGAAAAATAAGTCTGGCGAGGAGTCAACCATTATCAATCAGTGTACATTTCTTTAGAAATATATTGCGGCAGTACAATAATAAAACAGGCAATGCTAACTGTAGTATTAGCAATAATACGCTAGCAATGTGCTAGCAATACATATCAATACATAGCAATACATTAACAATATTTGGCAATATTGTGCGCAATTGATGGCAACACATAGGATAACAATATTAACAATACAATAGCAATACTAGCAAAGTTGCATTGCCATAATTACCCAACCACTACATTTTTTTAGTAGTTGAGTCCTCGGAATCTAGTAACAGCTATACTAAATATATAGCGAAATAATGTCAATCAAATATTTAGTTAATACAACTAAAAATAATTATTTTATACATAAATATTTGAGGAGCAGACTTTCAAAATACGTTTTATCCAAAATTTGTAATTTTCAGAAAACGAGAAAGAAAGATACTATGCACATGAAAAAATTACGTACTTTACAGAAAATAACAATATGTTAATCAGTAAGAATATTAAACAAAATTGCTAAACAAATGCTAAAAATGTTAAACAAATGCATTTTGTTTCTAGTTTAAAAAAAAACATAATGCACTCCGAAATGTCTATGTTTTTTCAGCATAAATTAACGATGAAAAAATACTTTCTGGACATCTTAGAGCTTATAATATGAGTCTTTCAACACTGAACACTATGTCACCTCTAACTAAATAAATGAATTTTTGGACAAAAACGTATTTTGAAAGTCTACTCTTCATTTAATAAATTGATTATCAAACTGTAACCATTTAGTAATACTTACTATTAAATGTTTGTAAAAGTAACATTATGTTTATTATGTGTTATTATATTAACCAAACATTTGATTGGTATTTATTCTAATTTTCTTCTGAGTAACGTTTATGGTAACGCAATTACATTTTTGGGGTAACGATAACGATTTCACTAGTTACTTTTATCATTACTTTATTTCTAACTACGTAAAAATTTAGTCGTAACTATAACCCTAGAAAAAAGAAGTGAAACATTAACGATTAAACATTAACTGTCTA